TTTAATATACACACAATATATCTTAATTCAGACAATGAAAATTTATATATTTATAAATCTAACATAAGAGTGCAGATATATTTTAATAAGTAATATAGAAGAAAGTTTATGTCATTTAATTAATTTCTAATATTATTTATATATTTAATAAATTAATAGAAAAATTGATAAATATTTAAGAGTTTTAACAATTTAGCTAAATATTCAAGATAGATTTTGTCTTTATATGAATTATAATGAGAAAAGTAATAATTGAAAAAGTAGAATGTATAAATTTATTTTAAACAGACTGTAAATTAATCAAGGTAAGAAAGACAGAGAGTTAATGAGAGGAGAAAAAGTCAAAGCAGCAGAAAATAGGCTAGAGAAATATATCGAAGAAAGTGTAAAATACATGTGGTCAGATCAATGACTCGTCGCTACGAAAAATTCATTTGCATCTGAATTAACAATGTGTAGAGTAACATATATGTAAATCGAAGAAGACTGTTTTAATTTGTTCTATGATATAATAAAAATTGAAGTTTTAGTTTGATTCAGGGGCGAATTTAGAATTTTATTTGTTGGGGGTGGGGGATGAAATATAGTTGCATTTTTGCAATTTGAACATTTTTAATTTTCATGTTATGGGTTATCAAATTTTATAATTTTTGCATTTGTAAATTTTTACACTTTAGAATTTTCAAATTTCTTAATTTCTCTATTTCCAAATTTTTCCATTTTCAAATTTGTAAATTAGCAAATTTCTACACTTTAAAATTTTCAAATTATCAAATTTCTACACTTTAAGATTTTCAAATTTTCAAATTACCATATTTGCAATTTTTCAAATTTTCAAATTTCGAAGTTATCAAATTTCTGCTCCTTAAAGTTTACAAATTTTTAAATTTACACACTTTCAATTTTTTTAATTTTCAAATTACCACATTTGCAATTTTTTAATTTCTTAAATTTCCAAGTCATCAAATTTCTACTCTTCAGAGTTTACAAATTTCTAAATTTCCATATTTTCAAATTTTTTAATTTTTAAATTTTTGTGTTACCAAATTTCCACATTTTCAAATTTTTTAATTTTCAAATTACCATATTTGCAATTTTTCAAATTTCCAAGTTATCAAATTTCTAAATCATTAAACTTGAAATCTTCATGTCACTTAATCTTGTCATCTTGTTATCACCACTTAATCTTGTCAGCACTAATCTAAATAATTAAAGTCACACATATTATTAATTCATTATAGAAAATAAATAAGAAATTCCCATAAAAAGTGTTGATACCTAAAAAAAAAAATAAAATAGAATATCTTTAAATTAACCAACGCTTAATTTTTTTAAGATTTCAATTCTGAATACGTCCCTGAATAAACTCCATGCAAATAGTAATCCACGCATCAAAAAGAAATAGACTCCAGGTTCCATATTTCAGCACAGTTTTGTTTCAATTTCAAATCAAATCAGATCTACATATTCGTTCAATACAGCTGACCAACTGATTTAATTTTCAATTAAATTCCAATCAGATTTGATCTCCGTAATCGTAATTATCCAGAGAGTAACAGTTCCCAAAAGATTTGAATACGTAAACAGAATAGTGGATCACAGCTCGTTATTTGATCATGCAATCAATCGATCGTTTAATTAAAAATTGGACTATCGTTTCGTATACTCATAGCAATGTTCGTCTACAACCAGGAAGTGAAGCCAATCAGATCTCTGATTAATTGAAATCGGCGTAGTGGAAGCAGCATCAAAGCAGGTACTCGATAAGACGACGTTTGGTCGGTAAAACGTGTAAATTGGTCGACAAACGATTGCAACTGGCTCGAAATACCGAGTCGAGAAATATAGAGATACATTTAAATCGTTCCTAACGACGTCTATGTCTGACTAACCGATTGAAACAGATTGTCGAAAATCCTCGTTCTTCAATTTCCGCTAACTAAGAATCAATTTTTCAGAGTAACATGTTCGAAAGGTTCGATAAAATGTACCAAGATTGCCCTTTGAACTAATATAGAAGAGAAGAAAAAGTATCCACGAAAGATACAAAAAGTATCCACGAAATCAATCAGATTCTCGATTACCTCTCACACTTTACGAATCGAGTATTCGAATTCTAATTCAATTCGTTATTTTCGTTAGCCCCGAATTCTCGATTCGATCGCACGATTAAAATCCTCCATTTTCTACACACGTACACCTCTCGGTGCCTCTCTCTCGCGTGATATGATTAAAATGGTCGCGTATTTATAATTATAAATCATATATGTCGTCGTAAATTGGTTCTAGTATAAAATTAGTTCGTCCACTGGAACGTGTCCTACGTAGGATTTGGGCTTGCTAGGGAGACTCTTTTCTTACCTACTCTTTCACCTACTCTTGGAAATCCGACGAGGAACAAGAGCTTCATTCGCATAATTACATAATTTTTTAAATAATTCAATACTTCAATATTGTGTCATGTTATTTCATCTCTGACTTCGAAACATTTTGTTTTGGATCTTTCATCATTTGGACAGAAATGCACATACAAACATAACAAATTTATTTTTCACAGAATATTTAAAACAAGATATTCACCTTGAAAAAATGTTGAGAACTCTTAGACCATAGCTTCCGTATCATAAGAGTCTAATTTATGGTTTTTTAATAGAAAATTTCAAAAATAGGTGTTAAACTATAATGGAGGTAGACAGTTATCTTTAATTATGTAAAAATCAATATCGAATTTTTCACTATTTTCATTATCATCATTTAACTGATTTTTGCATCACTTGATTTGTCTAAAAAAATTTCAATTTTTCTTTCACTGAAGAGTAATAATACTAAAAGGAATATTACACATGAAACAAAGTTAGAAGATGTAAAATAAATACAAAAAATACAGTCAATAAATAAAATAGTCTTTAAAAATACAAAATAGCTATAAAACATAAAGAATGTTAAGCTCTCGTTCATTGACATAGATTTCCTCTCGATTATCATAATAATTTAATCATCTCAAGGTACCGAATGACCTCTGGCACGCACCACGCGTTTCATAATTCAATCCGATTACTATACCTCGTGATCAGCTAATTCGCTGAAAATACCGATCGGATTTACGAAGGAGACGCCAGAGGCGACTAGAGAGCAAAACGTTTTAAGAACGTAGCCCACTACGCACACCACGAGAGATTATTTTCAAATAAAACTCGCAATATCACGTAACTCTTTTGAAATCAACTTGTTCGCAAACGTGTGTCAGCTTTTCCTACAAAGAGAGAATTATTAAATACTAAAATAGTATTGTAACTTCGATGAAACAACCGTAGTCCGCAGAGTTGGGCTTTGATAAAACTAGTTGTCGAATATTCAATTACGGTTTTGATTTGTTCGTGATTTTAATCAACAATTTGGCAAATTTGAACAGTCTGATTATTTTATAGTGGGCAGAATTATTGAATTAATTGGTTACAACAGGAATGGGCAAATTAAGTGCCCATGGGAACAATAGACGAGAATTTACAAATTTTCAAAAGTAATCTCTGTAATTTAGTTATACAAATTTACAAATATTCTCTTCAAAAATATTCACACTTTCAGAATTATGAATTTCTAAATTTGAAAATGTTTAAATCGAGAAATTTTCAGATGCCCGAATCTGAAAATGTTTGAGACATTTAATTTTCAAATTGAGAAATTCACAGATTCTCAAATGTTTAAAAATTCTTATTCAAAGAATTCCCTCTTGCAGCCACATAGATTTCCTCTTGCAGACAATATAATAAGCGTTCACTCATCCCTGCCCAGTGCACTCCATTTGCCCAGTCATTGACGTATCCCCCTAACTATAACCCACTGAACTTCCGAATGAAAAATGATCCCAAAACAGCCCAACTCCGCAGAAGCGTACAAACAAAAGTCAGCGTTTGGCGTACAATGTCGCTTATTCACGACGCCTTAGGTCCCCGATGGTTCTCGCGAAGCATCAATTCGCTAAGCTAAACCGAAACCGTGAAAGGAATGGAGTAGAAAAATGATTTGAACAGTTCATCGTCCGTGCCCAGTCACACAGTATCCGTTTCGATGTGTCACTGAAACACCTTGCTCTCCGGCCGTCTCACATCCTTATGATCGTAACCGTCCAGTCCCACCAATTCGCCGACAGTCAGGATGCCGAGGATCGCGGCATCCCACCTAGTAATCATGACGTGTCATGTGGGAACGCTACAGCCATTTGTTTCGACCCACGCCGGAGAGCCTGCGTCCCCACATAAGGTTATATCATACGATTGTCCCTTGTATGTGCTGAGGATCCTGTGTGACGCCCTGGATCTGTGGGGACTGCGATCCCAGTGGACCCTGAAGACTCGGGGGGTCGTAGAGTCCGCCCAGCGATCCGCACCACGCGTTTCATAATTCAATCCGATTACTATACCTCGTGATCAGCTAATTCGCTGAAAATACCGATCGGATTTACGAAGGAGACGCCAGAGGCGACTAGAGAGCAAAACGTTTTAAGAACGTAGCCCACTACGCACACCACGAGAGATTATTTTCAAATAAAACTCGCAATATCACGTAACTCTTTTGAAATCAACTTGTTCGCAAACGTGTGTCAGCTTTTCCTACAAAGAGAGAATTATTAAATACTAAAATAGTATTGTAACTTCGATGAAACAACCGTAGTCCGCAGAGTTGGGCTTTGATAAAACTAGTTGTCGAATATTCAATTACGGTTTTGATTTGTTCGTGATTTTAATCAACAATTTGGCAAATTTGAACAGTCTGATTATTTTATAGTGGGCAGAATTATTGAATTAATTGGTTACAACAGGAATGGGCAAATTAAGTGCCCATGGGAACAATAGACGAGAATTTACAAATTTTCAAAAGTAATCTCTGTAATTTAGTTATACAAATTTACAAATATTCTCTTCAAAAATATTCACACTTTCAGAATTATGAATTTCTAAATTTGAAAATGTTTAAATCGAGAAATTTTCAGATGCCCGAATCTGAAAATGTTTGAGACATTTAATTTTCAAATTGAGAAATTCACAGATTCTCAAATGTTTAAAAATTCTTATTCAAAGAATTCCCTCTTGCAGCCACATAGATTTCCTCTTGCAGACAATATAATAAGCGTTCACTCATCCCTGCCCAGTGCACTCCATTTGCCCAGTCATTGACGTATCCCCCTAACTATAACCCACTGAACTTCCGAATGAAAAATGATCCCAAAACAGCCCAACTCCGCAGAAGCGTACAAACAAAAGTCAGCGTTTGGCGTACAATGTCGCTTATTCACGACGCCTTAGGTCCCCGATGGTTCTCGCGAAGCATCAATTCGCTAAGCTAAACCGAAACCGTGAAAGGAATGGAGTAGAAAAATGATTTGAACAGTTCATCGTCCGTGCCCAGTCACACAGTATCCGTTTCGATGTGTCACTGAAACACCTTGCTCTCCGGCCGTCTCACATCCTTATGATCGTAACCGTCCAGTCCCACCAATTCGCCGACAGTCAGGATGCCGAGGATCGCGGCATCCCACCTAGTAATCATGACGTGTCATGTGGGAACGCTACAGCCATTTGTTTCGACCCACGCCGGAGAGCCTGCGTCCCCACATAAGGTTATATCATACGATTGTCCCTTGTATGTGCTGAGGATCCTGTGTGACGCCCTGGATCTGTGGGGACTGCGATCCCAGTGGACCCTGAAGACTCGGGGGGTCGTAGAGTCCGCCCAGCGATCCACCCAGACCGGGTCCGATGTTGGACCCCAGGGCTGCGCTCAGCTCGGGCATCGAGGGCAGACCGACGTCCAGGATGCCCGTGTTGCTGGCTCCGCCCGTCAGGGAGCCCTCTTCAGGGGGAGTCACTTCCAGACCGATGGACCCGTTAAGCGCTATTTTGATGGGGTTGTGATTAGAGGGATGTGACAGTGCACCCAGACCTATATCCTCCAGACTGCTCTTCCGCTTGCTCATCGTCAACCCCTGCCTCAAAGAGTTGCTGCGCCTCAACAAGATGTCGTCCACCACCCTCAGGGAGTTCGAACGACCTCGCAGCGTTCCGGCCACCGTCGGACTATCTGGCAAGGACAGAGAGTTCGATTTCGTAGTGCCCAACGGAGGAGCTCTGGGCAGACCTATGCCGGACCCTCGACGACTTCCCGCCCCAGTACCAGGCAGACCAGCCGACGCTACCGCGGCACTCATCTGAGAGACCAGCTGAGCCGAACAGAAGCTGATGTTGCTCTTCCGTCTCGAGTTGTGCCGCTCGAACGTCTTCTGCGCAGAGAACGGACTCGGTCGCACCAGGTACACGATGTCGCCCTCCTCCAGCTTCAGGTCGCAGCTGGGGTTGATGATCACGTACGAGAGGCTGTTACGCTTCTCGGACACCACGTCGTAGTCCGCTACTGGAAGGTTCAGCGACTCCATACGGGATCGAACCAGGCTGGCTATCTCTGCCCTCTCGATCTTCTGCGCGTGGTTGTCGCGCGCCTCGTCTCCCAGGCTTACGGAGTACTGTTTGAAAAAATACTGATTTCAATTTGGGTCGTAACTTATTCTTTCGACGGAGGTACTCGCGGTTGATGTTTTGGACAGACGGGTTGATAAATGTTTACGAACTTGATTTTGTTTAAGACTACTTACTATAAATGTATATTATAAATGTATATTATTAATGAACTTCATAAATGTACATTATAAATGCATCTTATAAACGCACATTATAAATGCATGTTACAAATGCATATTATAAATGCATTTTATGAATGCATATTATTAACACGCATTGTAAATGCATCTTATAAATGCATATCACAACTGCATATTATAAATGCATCTTATAAATGAACATTATAAATGCATGTTACAGCTGCATATTATAAATGCATTTTATAAATGCATATTATTAACACACATTGTAAATGCATCTTATAAATGCATATTATTAACACACATTATAAAAGCATCTTATAAATGCATATCACAACTGCATTTTATAAATGCATCTTATAAATACATATTACAACTGCATATTACAACTGCATATTACAACTGCATATTACAACTGCATATTATAAATGCATATTATAACTGCACATTACAACGGCATATTATAAGTGCATACAATAAATGCACATTATAACTGCACCTTTCAACTGCATATTATGAACGTACACCGTGAATGCATATTATAAACGCATATTATGAATGTATATTATAAACGCATATAATGACTACATATTACAAATGCATAAGTACATATATGTTATAAATGTATATTAAAAACGCATATTATAAATGCACAGCATAAATGTATAATTGTAAATGTATGTTATAATCGTGTCTGCAGATGTAAATGCAGCTTAATGTAAAAAGCGTAGAGAAGTAAGGGTACATCCCCCGTTTTATCAAGTACAGTCTGTCGAAACATCAACGCAGTAATACGTGAATTCGCACGAGCGTGTAGTGTCGATCGCCAAGATAGCGTCGAGCATTTAGAGTCCTGAGGGTGAGCATTAGACTGTGTGCCACTGTGTAGTACATCGAGCATGCGAGTTGCAACGTGTTGATATGTGGACGAGATGGATGAAAGAGACAATAGAGACGACGTGACACATAGAGAAAATAGTGAGTCGTATAATAACACATATGGGGTCAATCGAGCAAGAAACGGCAGCCAAACAACGTCGACTCTGTACTCACGGCTGAGGCACCCTTGTCACGGGTGGCGCAATTCGCAAGACATGAGGCTGCCGCCGAATGACGCACCTTGTACGTCACGCCGACGCCGGCGTCGCTCTCCGCGTCTGAGTCGCCCTGTCAAAACGACAAGCATTTCTACCCTTACTAAACACAGCCTGCCGTTATCGCGATTTTACACGCCATCGGTCATTCTTGCAATTTTCCTCTTTGATCTTTCATTGATCTTTGATCTTTGACTTTTCCTCTTGTACATTGTACACAAAGTTTGTATGATGACCTTTTACTCAAGTTTCATGAACATTGCAAATTGCTTTCTACTTCATCTATGAGCTATGTTATCTATAAACTATAATCTAATGGTAGCAAATCATATCATCGTGTTATTCTATTTAATATCCATGATGACTCATACATTTGTTCGCAACAAACAAAAATTTCGTGTACGTAATAAAATTTGTATAGTTTTGTTAAATTTCCATGTACATGAACAAAGGTATAAATAATGGTATTCGTCTATGATTTCTAATAGTAGCAAATTGCAATTTTCTGGATATAGACAGCGATCATCTGATGATTAAAAATGATGATTATCAATGATGATTATAAAATGAAATGAATATACAGTTTCTCGTGTTCGACGAATGAAATTTATACGAAAATATTGCCCATTGGCAATAAAATAATCAGTTAATTTTTACATCCAGAAGAGTAGAAACCATAAAAAAAACCATCGTCGCCATTTTCTAAAAGGACCATTTTAAAGATGATCATTTTGATTATTAATGAAGTAATGTAAAACTTGAAAAAATATAGCCTCATTACTTTTGAAATAGACCACGTTTAACACGATGCAGGTTTGGAAACATATTCGGGATTGAAGGACGTGCTACAAGCATCGTTTCAACAAGATGCAAGAGCCCTATTCTTCTGATTCTCATTGTAAGAGATAGTATTTCAAATGTTGCACACGGGGGACTAATACAGTAGACTCTTGTTATATTGCCGGAAACAATGAACTTTCAAACTTGGTAATTTAGAACTTAGGTTAGGTTTGAATTCAAGAAGTTTTCGATTTTCGGGGTTTCAAATTTGGGAACTTGGAGTTTCTAAAATTTACAAATTTTCAAGTTAAAAAATTTGGAAATTGGGGAATTTGAGAATTCCGGAATTTGTGAAATTGGAAATTTGAAAAATTGGGAATTTGAGAATTCCGGAATTTGTGAAATTGGAAATTTGAGAAATTGGGAATTTGAGAATTCCGGAATTTGTGAAAATGAAAATTTGAGAAATTGGGAATTTGAGAATTCCGGAATTTGTGAAATTGGGAATTTGAGAATTCCGGAATTTGTGAAATTGGGAATTTGAGATTTCAGAAATTTGAGAAATCGGAAATTTTGAAATTTGATAACATCAAAATTAAAAAACTTGGTAATTCAGAAATTTGTATAGTCCTCTCACGGCAATATATCGAAAGTCTACTGTAAAGAGCGAAATGTAGAGCGGGTACAACCATGCGCTACTCACAGCCGCCATTCAAAGTTGTTTCCTGCCCTTACGAAATCTTTCAGCTTTCAAATAAAAAAAAAAAATATATGAAAAAACAATTATACTCACGTGAGACGTGTCCGATACGGTGGTGTCTTGCGTCCTATAAATCCCAATCGGAATTTCACACGTGGTCGAACAAAGTTTTTGATACAATCTGCCGTAGGTTCGTATCCACATATCGTCTTTTGTTATCCTCATCTACAATATAAACGCAAAATTGAAACGATAATTAATATTTAATTTATGCAGTGTAATTTGATGAATGGTGCGTGCGGACTCTAACGATGATTGAGATATTATTATCTAATTAGAAAGTTACATGGAATTGGAAAATGTGACTAATTACGGGTGTAATTAGTGCTAGTTGGGAGTCTAATTAACTTCGTGAAACTGAAGGGCAATTATACGTGTACTGTAATTCTGCGTTTGATGTATGAGCAATTTGTGAAGTTGGGAATTTAGGAATTTGGGGAGTTGGGGGAATTTTGGGAATTTGGGGGGTTCGGGGAATTTAGGGGATTTGAGGAATTTGGAGGTTAGGGAATGGGGAATTGGGGAATTTGGGAATTTGGGAATTTGGAAATTTGAGAATTTGGGAATGGGGGAATTGGGGAATTGGGGAATTGGGGAATTGGGGAATTGGGGAATTTGGGAATTGGGGAATTGGGGAATTTGAGAATTGGGAAATGTGGGAATTAGGATATGTGGGAATTGGGATATGTGGGAATTGAGATATGTGGGAATTGGAATACGTGAGAATTGGAATGTGTGGTATTTAGGATATGTAGGAATTAGAATATGTGGAATTTGGGATATATGGGAATTGGGATACTTGGGATTTGGGATATGTGGGAATTAGGATATGTGGAAATTGGGACATGTGGGAATTGGCATATGTGGGAATTAGGATATGTGGAAATTGGGACATGTGGGAATTGGAATATGTGGGAATTGGGATATGTGGGAATTGGAACATGTGGGAATTGAGATATGTGGAATTTGGGATATGTGGAAATTTGGAAATTTGGGAACTAGGAAAATTAAAAATTCGAAAGTTTGAAAACAGAGAAATCTACGAACTTGCTAAGTGAAAACTTGGAAAACTCCAAAACGTATTTGTAATGACTATAATTGTGACGTACAATCAATATAAAAAATGTTACAAAAAGTTATAAAAAATATTGATTATCTTACCGATGTTAGAAAACCAGATCCCGGTGCTTGGTCCACACCCAGCAACAACCTCACGAAAGTGATCATATAATCCTTGACGAACGCTTGATAAAGCAGCGTGTCCAGCATGGAGGCGCTGAATACGCTGCCAGCAGCAAATGGCAGCCGAAACATGTACGATATGTGCGAGCCTCTTTCCTTTTCTCTCTGTTAAAGTGTTCGTACACATCTATTAATCTCCCTTTATTTTATATTTCATTCTTGCTGAACTCGTACGCTATGATCTTATCATTAATCCGAGTACGACATTTTGCTCTAACAAGCTGTTATAGTAATTGTTATAAAACTAAATTTGCATATCTGTGAATTTACATGACTATGGTAAAAACAGTAACATAACATCGAACAAAAGATACAAACGGAAATAAGGCTTCTAAATTTGAAAAGTGTCGAAAAGCAGTACGGTGTTATATTTGGAAAAAAAGGTGCTGTGGAAGGAAAGCTTCAAAGATGATTAGCTTTCTTACAAGAAAGAACGCTTCGAGTTGCCTCCCATACTGCAATAAAATTTTCTTTATACGTATAAGGTAATAAAGTAAAGGTCAAAGTATACGCGCTTATAATGTTGACAAGCTGTATTGCGACAGAACGACAGTATTCAAAGCAACTAATTTTTGATATTACATTTAATCTACGTTTTTAATTTTTTTTTTAACAAAACAAGAACTTTGAACGATCAATCGATGAATTATTGAAAGATCGATACAAGCGAAATTAAAATTTGTAAGCACATAAAAGCGCATATTTTAAGGTGGTAGTAGTATTAACAAGTACCTTCTCCATTTTGCTGAGATGAAGAGCATACTTATCGTGTGCTCGGAATTGCATGAAACGCATGTTGCTCGATTGCGATAGCTCTGTTATGCTTTTTATGCTGGGAAAAAATCTGTGGACAGAGGGTTTGCAATTTGTAATTTACATTATTAAAATTTAAGGTCGATATATTTTTATATGGTTAAGTTTTGAGGTTAGGGATTTACAGTTTTTATAGTTCTTGAGGTAACTTTCGAGGTAGCAAGCTTTGGAACGTAGAATTTTAGAAATTTTAAAATATGGAAGTTTAAAAATTATTAAAAAATTCTTGAGATCCAAAGATTCGATTTCCAAGGACCTATGTTTTCATATTCCCTAAATCTCCAAATCTTCGAACCTCTAAATTCCATTATTAAATTCCCAAATTTCTAAATTTCCAAATTTCCAAATTTCCAAATTTCCAAATTTCCAAATTTCCAAATTTTCAAATTTTCAAATTTCCAAATTCCCAAATTTCCGATTTCCCAAATTTCCGAATTCCCAAATTTGCAAATTCACAAATTCCCCAATTCCCAAATTTTCGAATTCTCAAATTCTCAAATTTTCAAATTCTCCAATTCCCAAATTCCCGAATTCTTAAATTTCCGAATTCCCAAATTTGCAAATTCACAAATTCCCAATTCCCAAATTTTCGAATTCTCAAATTCTCAACTTTTCAAATTCTCCAATTCCCAAATTCCCGAATTCTTAAATTTCCGATTTCCCAAATTTGCAAATTCACAAATTCCCCAATTCCCAAATTTCTGGATTCCCAAATTTTCGAATTCTCAAATTCTCAAATTTTCAAATTCTCAAATTCTCAAATTCTCAAATTCTCAAATTCTCAAATTCTCAAATTCTCAAATTCTCAAATTCTCCAATTCTCCAATTCTCCAATTCTCCAATTCCCAAATTCTCCAATTCCCAAATTTTCGAATTCTCAAATTTCCGAATTCCCAAATTTCCAAATTTCTAAATTCCTCAATTTCCAGATTTCCGAATCCCCAAATTCCCCAAATTTCCCGAATTCTCCAAATTCTCCACATTTCCCAAATTCCCCAAATTCACCAAGTTCTCCAAATTCCTCAAATTTCTAAAATTCCCCAAATTCCCCAAATTCACCAGATATTTCAAATCCCCCTAATCCCCCAAATTCCCTAAATCTTCCAAATTACCCAAATCTCAAGTTTCTCATATCCCAAATTTCCAAATTCCCTAAATTTCCTAAATTTCCCAAATTTCCCAAATTTCCCAAATTCTCAAAATCCAAAATATCCCAATGTCCCTAAATTTCTAAACCTCGACTAATATCCCCAATTCCCCAATATCATAATTCCCCGAATCCCCAAACCGTCTCCCCAAATACAAAAATTCCTAAATACGATAAAAATAAAAATAAAAAAGACCTCCACAGCTCCATAGTTTGCAATAAGAAAAAATGTAAACGCTTACTTGAACATAGTTTGTACCGCAACGATTGTATTACAGTCAGCTAAAGTGTCCTCTTCCGCAGAATTGCTGAGTTCCTTGTTTACGACGACGACATTTTCTGCTAGAGTGATACCAGCACGAAGGAGATCATCCAAACAGTCGATGGTTCCTCGCATCCAGTATACCAACGGGAAGTAGGACACAGCGTCAAGGAACGCAATTTCCGGCGTCCGCTCCAGTAAAAGAATGATTGGATTCAGCGAGGTTTTCGATCTGGCAATCATTCATCAACGTTAAATCGACTTTATTTGTTTATTGTGTTCGACTTCTTTGTATTCGATATTTAACTTTGAATGTGGTTTACGTATTTTAATTTCTTTCTTTTTATACAATTTTGCTTATTGAGTTACGTTACAAGTATGAACAATGCACTACAGAAATAATGAATTTGTTGATCAATTTTTTAAAAGTACATAAATTTAAAAAAATCATAAGCAGTATAAACATTGTTATGATCTCGAATTGTATTGAAGTGAATATGGAAATATATTAGTTATAAAAAATGCTTCAAATGATGCAATTTTTTAAACATGTACGAATTACAAGATGGTGTAAGTAGTGTTAAAATTGTTTATATCAAATACTTAAGGACATCATCAAAAAAAGAATAAAAGTTTAAGTACAAGATGGTTTTAAAAATACAAAGTTATACATTTTTGTTCGTGTTTGTATATTTTCTGTAACTATTATATATTTTCTGCAAGATATACAACAATTTATTTTTTTATTGGAAAAAAGTAGTGCATTACATTAGATAGTTCTTTTGTGAATCCATAAACATTTAGTGAAGTTTAAATAAAGTGTAAAGGTATACCTAAAATGTGCCCTTAACGGAATTATAAAATTGTAGATCCCATTGCTAGCATAATCGGCAGCCAGAATTATAGTTTTGTTTTGCCAATTGTATTCCTTAGCGTTCCTGTAGCTGCAGTGTTGGCAGACCTGGTAATTCAAGAAAATTTGTGATAACGATCAGAATTTTTGAAATAAAATACTGAGATTATAAAACCATTAATACCTGTGCCAATTGAAGGCAACAGAGAGGTTTCTTTTCTTTAAGTAAATAACAAAATGTCGGTGAGACGCCTATGTACGGTGAAACTGGAGGAAATCCTTTGACGATCCTGCAAAAATTTCAATGGGCAACTGTAAAAGACTAAAAATTTGTACGATCTACGATCTTCAGAAAAATTAGTTCTCTAAGAATATTAATAAACTTCTTAGAAAATGCTCCCTTTGTGTAACAAATTCGATAAAGAAATAATTACAGAAGGATAAAATTGTAAAATATGATAAAATAAATATTGAAAAGTGCAGAGAAGTGAAAAATCGATAAACGTGAATAATAATGAAAACGTGAAAAATGCAGCATACACGACATATGAATATCTGAAATATCGAAAAATAGAATTTTAAAGGTATTTAATCGAATTCACTTCGATTATATGTAACCATGTCAAGTTATATTCTCGAAACATTAAATCCTGCTTTTCATATCAGTAAACTGTTTTATAGATGATTCGAATATAATTAAATAACGAACTTGAATAGCGTACTGGATTAAATTTCGATCAGTTTCCAAATTCCGAAGCTACGAATTCATGCGATCTCTTCATCAATTTCATCCCCTCTTTGCTCCACACCTTTTCGAATTGGAAAATTGGCTAAGGTGTGCATGCTACAGGAAGCGTTTTATTGATCAGTAGAGGATACAGGTTACTTCACGTGTCTTTCATATTGTCAGATAAATTGTGGCTTTTCAATTAAGAAGAACATTTGGAACCTAACAATCGAATCTATTTGCTTTTTCTATTTTTACAATTTTAAGAGTTTAAGTCTTTTTAGTTGGATAATAGCGCGGTGGATTATTACCTGTGGGATTGCTACGTGCTGGATAACCATGAGTTAAAGTTCTTTGTGTTAGATTGCTACGTGATGGATTATCACGTGTGAAATTACTACACGTTGAATTACCACGCGTGGAAGTATCACGCGTTGAATTACCACTCGTGGAATTACTACGCGTGGAATTACCGCGCGCGGAAGTATCACGCATGGAAGTATCACGCGTTGAATTACTACGCGTTGAATTACCACGCGTTGAATTACCGCGCGTTGAATTACCACGCGTTGAATTACCACGCGTGGAAGTATCACGCGTTAAATTACCACGCGTGGAATTACTACGCGTGGAATTACTACGCGTTGAATTACCACGCGTGGAAGTATCACGCGTTGAATTACCACTCATGGAATTACTACGCGTTGAATTACTACGCGTGGAATTACTACGCGTTGAATTACCACGCGTGGAAGTATCACGCGTTAAATTACCACGCATTGAATTACTACGCGTGGAAGTATCACGCGTTAAATTACCACGCGTGGAATTACTACGCGTGGAATTACAACGCGTTGAATTATCAAGCGTGGAATTACCACGCGTGGAATTACTACGCGTTGAATTACCACGCGTGGAAGTATCACGCGTTGAATTACCACTCATGGAATTACTACGCGTTGAATTACTACGCGTGGAATTACTACGCGTTGAATTACCACGCGTGGAAGTATCACGCGTTGAATTACCACTCATGGAATTACTACGCGTTGAATTACTACGCGTGGAATTACTACGCGTGGAATCACCACGCGTTGAATTATCACGTGCTGGAGCATCACACGTTGGGTCATTACAAGTCTGATTATCGCACACTGGACTACTACGCGTTGGATTATTACACGTTGACCTATCACGCATTGAATAAATATGCGACATACTCCTACATATAGAATTCCCGCATAGTAATTAAATCGGGTTTTGTAATACCATTGACTAACCATGCCCACATCGCATTATTACGCTTTACACTACTTTGCCTCACAACTCTAATTTACAAAACTAGACAACTGAATGTTCCACAAAAAATTATAAACAATTACAAAAACATTTTCTTTCGTATTCACCTAACATTTTTCTTCCCATAAACTTACGTTGAAAAACAACTGTAAAAAGTAACAATATTTCTTATCTTAATTCTCGTCAGAATTATGATACTCAACTATCGTCAGAAACTCTAGACATCTCATTAAAAACCTCCAGACTCCGAATCATAAGAATGTAATAATGATTTCGTTTTTAGATTCCAAACGTTCGAAATGGCAGGCGCAACGACAGGATAATTAAATATGAAAGCGTAGAAACGTAAACTCACCCCTTGAAACTGCTGGGCAAAGGTCGTGCGTCAAGACGGCAGTGCATAAAGATGATGCAGGAAAGAAGACATCGAAAACATCCACGAGGACATATAGGGTGTCAGGCAGGACAGCATCGAGCAGCGGATTCAATACCATCGACGCCGATTAGTGGCACAGGCATCGAAAGACATTCAGACAGGACAGATCGACCATCAACGTAAACTTGCGTTTAATTGTATTTCGGGTGGTGAATGACGGACGAGTCTGGCATCGATCTTCTATGTTTCGAAATTTTCTACCGTTTTTTGCCCTGTCTGTTTCTTGTCACCGTGATATTCCGACCACTCGACGTTACTTGCATTCAAATACGCGTTTCGAATCTATTTCTCGGACATTGATTTTCTACGTTTCAAAACCTATTTGACTTTTCTCTTCGACACCGGTTTTTTAACTATCGACTTTTCAAGTGCAAATTTTAACAATTTACTACGCGTTGAATTACCACGGCTTGAATTACCACGCATGGTATTACTACGTGTTGAATTACCACGCGTGGAAGTACTACGCGTTGAATTACCACGCGTGGAGTTACTACGCGTCGAATTACCACGCGTGGAATCACCACGCGTTGGATTACCACGCGTGGAGTTACTACGCGTCGAATTACCACACGCAGAATTACCATGCGTTGAATTACCACGCATAGAATTACTACGCGTCGAATTACCACGCGCGGAATCACTACGCGTAGAATTACCACGCGTTGGATTACCACGCGTGGAGTTACTACGCGTCGAATTACCATACGTAGAATTACCACGCGTTGAATTACCACGCGCAGAATTACTACGCGTTGGGTCATCACGCGTTGAATTACCACGCGTTGAAATGCCACGCGTTGAATTATTACGCGTCGAATTACCACGCGCGGAATCACTACGCGTAGAATTACCACGGGTTGGATTACCACGCGTGGAGTTACTACGCGTCGAATTACCACATGTAGAATTACCACGCATTGAATTACCACGCGTGGTATTACTACGCATTGAATTACCACGCGTGGAACTACCACGCGTTGAATTACCACGCGTGGAATTACCACGCGTGGAATTACCACGCGTGGAATCACTACGCGTCGAATTACCACGGGTTGGATTACCACGCGTGGAGTTACTACGCGTCGAATTACCACACGTAGAATTACCACGCGTTGAATTACCACGCGTAGAATTACTACGCGTTGGGTTATCACGCGTTGAATTACCACGCGTTGAAATACCACGCGTTGAATTGTTACGCGTTGAATTACCACGCGTGGAATTACTACGCGTTGAATTACTACGCGTGGAATTACTACGCGTTGGATTATCAGACGCTAAATTAGCACGCATCGAATTACCATGCGTGGGATTATTACGCTAGTTACATGAAGATAAACTTTCAAGACTACTTTTAAGAATTATTACATTGTAGAAAATTATATAGTATAATAAACTATTCCATTGCAGAAAATTTTTATAATAAATTATTAAATTACACAAAATTTCTACAATGAATTATTAAATTACACAAAATGTCTACAACGAATTATTGCACTATACAAAATTTTTATACGGAAGGCATCTAAAAAAATTGCAGAAAGTGAATCTAAATAGAATTTAGATTATTAAAAAACCGGTGATGAGATTCGGTTTTCGAAACGTTACCAGAAAAAAAAGAAGAAAGGAAAGGACGCGATTACGTCGAGTTGACAATCACAGGGGAAGTAACATCTAAGAGAAGAAGTGCAGAAACAGGAGCATGGTGCACATAAGTTCCTTCAGCGTGGCTGTGGAACTTTGTTCCCGACGATGCTGATCGATAAGATCGTACGGAGCTCAGTTAATTGAGTTTTAATCTTATTTAAAGTAAACATTGAGAAGGGAAATTCGAGTTGTACGATCTTATGGCGGATTTCTGATACGATTATAAGAAACTACTGGCGAACTCGAAGTATGTACTCGAAGTCTACAAGCGGTAGGTGTCTAATGTCTACTTGGAATACTTCTCGAAATGAAAATCAATATTTGTCGACGTTGGCCAGTATCTTCTTCCTAAAGCTAATATCGATAATGTACAATATTCAAAATGAAAATTAAGTTTCAAAGGAGATACATTCATCGGATATATTAGGTTGTTACGGATGAAATTAGCGATTTCGGTTTTATTTGAGGTTCTTAAGTTTCATATCAGTTTGTTCAAGTATTTTGTTGGAATATCTGATACAATTTAAGAATTAAATTACTGAAATTTTTATGGGTATCTAAATATAATATTGTGAGTAAAAACAAGTAATAACAAGCAATAGCAAGTAATAACAAATACAATAAATAATAATAAATAAAGTATTGTGAGATTTTTACATGTCAAGCATTACATGTGGATATGAAACTTGAAGATTATAAAAAAATAATATATTGAATATCAGATTTAATAGAAAATTGTGTAACAATTAATTGAGACTAATAAACAATTTAAGAGCATCAAGATAGAATTAATTTTTTGAAGAGAATTTAAAATGGAGTCTTACATAACCATTGTTTATAAAGACATCTTAATAAATGCTAAAATGGTGAAGTATTACACGTAATATAAATATGAGTTGTACGACTGCTTCGATGTATAATATTTAAAGAAGATAAGGTAAGAAAAATAAGATGAATATCGCATTATCTGACGGAGCTCGTATTTCTCAATTAACAGTTCAGAAACTTTGAGCATTAGAGTGTGAAGTTTTTGCCGATCCACCATACTCACGAAATTTATTCATCATGTAAAGTACAGATGACTAATGAATTTATTATTAATAAAGTATATTGTGAACAGTTGGATCGGTTTTTAATAGCAAAACATTGCAAAAAGGACAATGATTCAGTTTTTATAAATGTCCTCGAAAAATGAATCTTTTTAGGAATATAATAAATTTGAGAAATATTGTAGTTATTGATATAAGAGTTTGGTTAAGAATTCGCTTATTTCATCCGCAACAATCTGATAAATAGATATGTATGCGAATAAATAATTTACATCAAATACGTCCGATGCACAAGAGACCGTGCCATGCAAGTGCATGAGACAGTGCAAGATCGTTTCGATTCTTAAAGACCTAACGATCGTGCTTCAGTATTAAAAAAGACCGAATGGAAAAAGGAAATGAGGCTCTTTTATCTATGAGAGTAGGCAGAAAGGTCCATTGATATTTGTAAAACAATTTCTCAATTTTTCAACTCTGCAATTTTTCAACTCTGCAATTTTTCAACTCTTCAATTTTTCAACTCTTCAATTTTTCAACTCATCAATTTTTCAATTTTTCAATTTTTCAATTTTTCAATTTTTCAATTTTTCAATTTTTCAATTTTTCAATTTTTCAATTTTTCAATTTTTCAATTTTTCAATTTTTCAACTCTTTAATTTTTCAACTCATCAATTTTTCAATTTTTCAATTTTTCAACTCTTCAATTTTTCAACTCTTCAATTTTTCAACTCTTCAATTTTTCAATTTTTCAACTCTTCAATTTTTAAATTTTTCAATTTTTCAACTCTTCAATTTTTCAATTTTTCAATTTTTCAATTTAATTCAATTTAAACAACCTCCCAGCAAATACTCAACAGCAACCTCTTACTACAAATCCATTTACCAATCTCAAACTACTGCACAACTCAAAATCATCAGAACATTTATGCCTACTCTCCAATCTAATATATCTATGAAGTTTATGTGACAATCTAAGTCCGCTTCTTCACGCTCATGATATTACATGTACTAAAAGACCTTGTACCTTAAATCCTTGCGATCTTAAACGTAACACGATGATATAAGTAACGAAAGTGAATTGGTTATACTCACGCTATTTTTTCACTGGGCGATCTCCATGGAACGTCGTCATCCATTTCATCCTCGGACTCGTCAGCTTCGTGATCCAAGGACTCTTGTCCAGGAAGATTCAAGGCTGAACTCGTCAACATGTCGGGCACCGGTAGTATACTTGGTCTTCTACTTCCTGTGAACAGTCAATTCCGAAACTTCGTGTGAAAAGTGTTTGAACAGATATTTTTGTGATTTTATGTGATTTTGATTTACCCCTTCTTTGCGTGAGAATTTCGGGACTGAGCAAATTTGGATTCGGATCCATGGACCTGGGAACGTCCAAATGGTTTCCTGTGATCGGTGTCTGAGGCGTGGAGCCGCCATCTTTTAGACACTGGCGCGAGTCGTCGAATCCTCCGGGATCTAAATACGTGGCTAAGAAATTAGAAAGTTGTCACTACAAGTCATACACTCTTGATGTGTAGGAAAGAAGAGTAAAATTATAACGGAAGAATTAAAATTGAGAGACGTTTTGGTCGAATTTTGAAAGACATTAATTTGCATTCAAAATGAATTAGGTTTGGTAGAGATTTTATAGTTTGATACATAAAGAGGAGTCATTCATTAGGGATTACTTACCTAAGAATAAGTCGAATAAATATTTCAAAATACAGAGAACGAAATGTTCTTGATGATTGGACGAATAGTTAAAGTGGTATATGAATTGTTGGAAGTAAAATTGTTTCTGATTAAAACTTTAGGGCATTTGTTGACAAAAGAATGTATTGTTAAAATGGTACATGAAGTTTGTTGAAAATAAAATTGTATCTCATTGAAATTTTAGTAATATTTACTATTGTTCAGAGTGTTAGGAATTTGAAGTAGTGATGTATATAACGAAGTAGTGATGTATATAATCCTTGTATGTTTGTTAATATTGTATTTATATGTAAACTTAAATTTGGTGCAGTAATGTGGGGTTACGGGGTCCACTAGAACATTTTAATTTTAGTTGGTATAAGATTAGATTCCAACAACGAATGCAAAGTAAAAGCAATTTTATTTATCTGTTTCAGATCACTGCAAGTGGAGGTCCTTCCCTCTTTGAACTTGATTGTTCTAAGCTATGGTGTATGTGCTGTTTTAACCCATTTATTAATAACTAGTAAGAATTATAGAATAAATTACTGAAAATATTATACAATAAAAATAGTAGGTTTTTTGTAATATATAATTCAGTGAAGTTTTTCTTTTTGAGATATGGTACTGTAAATCATGATATGAAAATAAATGGGTTACGCAAAATAAGTGGAGTGTTTTCAGGATTAAATTACTTTGACAAAAGCGAACATTCATTTATACAACTGACTGTGAGAGCACGATTTTGCACTAGCAACGAATACAACAGTAATTAAAACGAACAGGAATTTTTATTTGAAATTATGGAGGCATTTTAAAGCATATTTTTTTAGTTCTGATGAATCAAACAAAAGATTTGAACTAATTATTCTAACAAAAATAACAATAAGATTAGAAAACATTTAAAGCGATTACTATATTCGTGCATTTTAATCTATCGCATGCGAAGTAGCAAATCAGATAAACATGTAAACACAGTACCAGTTAAAGTCATAAAAACTTGTTGTTCGTTCACTTGTTTTTTATATTATGTTAAAATACATCATTTTCAATAAAAATTTAAAAAATGTTTAAAACTGTTGAAATTTTTTAAAACTTAAAAATTCTATTTTTTGCAAATATCTTAAGTTTCAAGAAAAAAATGATTTATCTCAAAAAAAATCCCACCTAGAATATTATAAAAGTTGACCAGTTTACTACAAATTAATTCATAGTAAAATTTTTCGAATCTAAGATATGAAATTCAAAAGCAATAATTAATTAGTAAATAGAAATAATTTATTTTGAATAAAGCTATCAATTTTATTACATCATTTTCAAATTGTTACTACAAATTATAATAATGTAGTTTTTCTCAAAATTCTTCAAGTTTATACTTGACGGTAATAAAAAGACAAATATTGTACATCAAAGCATAGTTATACAAGGAGTTCCTAAAATAACCATCTATTTTACATGATTCCTCTTATCTCCTTTATCGATTAGTTTAATGTATTACAATTTTAAAATTAGTAAGTACAACGTGCAGATATGTCAGTTAATATAAAACCATAATTATTCTGATAAATAATTAAAATCATATTTAATAGAAACATCTTAAACACCGCTAACAAACGGTTAGGTTACATCAGTAGTGTCACATGTGGCAACAAAGCAAATCAGCTGCGCCATTAAAAATCGATAGGTATTAGATATTATACATATAGAAATTTATACAGAAATCTAAGGTACCAGTTACTTGGAATAAAGTTTTAAATTATTATCATTTTTAAATAATTCAAACCTTTTTGTACAAAAATATTTTTCATATACACGATTCACTGTCCATAGTCCTCAAACAACCCAAAAAATTCTTAAACCTCGCCCTATTCCTCCAAAAGTACAATATATTAAATTATTATAACTTCTAGATATTTAAAACCTTCTCAAAGACATTTTCCACCAACCCAATCCACATATCCTAAACCCTAAACCCTAATCCCCCGATCCACATATCCCTTAAACTCGATCCTCTTCCCATATCGCCAAACAGACGGTTACTTCAGGAACCCGAACCACAAAGAATACAATAAGAGAATAAATAATTCCACATATAAAAAGAAAGAAGAAAATAGGAGCAAGCGCATGCGACACTCACGGTGGACATCGGATGCGAGTATGTTGTGGTGTTCGAGTGGTGTGGGCGTGCTAGGGAGGACCTGCAATATAACCTGTGTAAAATTTTTCGAATCTAAGATATGAAATTCAAAAGCAATAATTAATTAGTAAATAGAAATAATTTATTTTGAATAAAGCTATCAATTTTATTACATCATTTTCAAATTGTTACTACAAATTATAATAATGTAGTTTTTCTCAAAATTCTTCAAGTTTATACTTGACGGTAATAAAAAGACAAATATTGTACATCAAAGCATAGTTATACAAGGAGTTCCTAAAATAACCATCTATTTTACATGATTCCTCTTATCTCCTTTATCGATTAGTTTAATGTATTACAATTTTAAAATTAGTAAGTACAACGTGCAGATATGTCAGTTAATATAAAACCATAATTATTCTGATAAATAATTAAAATCATATTTAATAGAAACATCTTAAACACCGCTAACAAACGGTTAGGTTACATCAGTAGTGTCACATGTGGCAACAAAGCAAATCAGCTGCGCCATTAAAAATCGATAGGTATTAGATATTATACATATAGAAATTTATACAGAAATCTAAGGTACCAGTTACTTGGAATAAAGTTTTAAATTATTATCATTTTTAAATAATTCAAACCTTTTTGTACAAAAATATTTTTCATATACACGATTCACTGTCCATAGTCCTCAAACAACCCAAAAAATTCTTAAACCTCGCCCTATTCCTCCAAAAGTACAATATATTAAATTATTATAACTTCTAGATATTTAAAACCTTCTCAAAGACATTTTCCACCAACCCAATCCACATATCCTAAACCCTAAACCCTAATCCCCCGATCCACATATCCCTTAAACTCGATCCTCTTCCCATATCGCCAAACAGACGGTTACTTCAGGAACCCGAACCACAAAGAATACAATAAGAGAATAAATAATTCCACATATAAAAAGAAAGAAGAAAATAGGAGCAAGCGCATGCGACACTCACGGTGGACATCGGATGCGAGTATGTTGTGGTGTTCGAGTGGTGTGGGCGTGCTAGGGAGGACCTGCAATATAACCTGTGGGGCCCTGTGTGCCGGTGTACCGTGTACGCTCTGTCCACGGGGCCCCGTGCAGGTCGTCTCCTGCCTGCAGCAAGCTGTTTCGTTCAGAGCATTGTTACAACTGTTGGAATAACGATGGTGCTCGTTGGCACCGGACTTGTTTGCAGTACCGTTCCCATCACCACCGGCGATCGTGCAGCTGGTCGAGATCGTGGTGGTCGTCGTCGTGGTCCCAGCCCCAGATCCGGAGTTCATGGTCGTCGTCGTGTTGTTGGTGGTCGTGTTACTCGTGGAACCGCTGTTCGCGTTGCCCATTCCGTCGCTTTTCGTTTCGATCACCACCTGGGTACCCTCTGCTGCTCCCGTTTGGTTGTTCGCCACGACGAACGCGGAGTTTTCTTCTTTCGTGATGCTCATGTAGTAACAGATGTCCGTTTTCTTCATTATGTGACGGGGACCTTGACAATCATTAATGGAGGTTCACTGATCAATTTAAATTGAAACAATACTGTAAAAATTCATTATTAAATGATAATAAATATGTTGGCTTATACAATGATTATTTTGATCAAGGTTAACACATATTTTGACAAAAGCTTTTCAAATTTAGAAGTTTGTTTATTCCAGTAGTTAAGAACTTCGGAACTCTTCAATCTATAATTTTGAACATCTTTAAATTTCTGATATGCAGTTCATCTGATTAATGAAGAGGCTGCTTCACTTTTATCGTTACTTTCCTTAAAGACGAGTTACCATATATATACAAATATACTTGTAGGTATATCGTACCGTATATAAAAGCACATGCAGTTGCCAACCCATGACTTGCTATGTAAGGACCCAAAGTAAAAGAAGCTATGTCATAACACACTTCCAATTACATTTTGACAAATAAAAATAATAATGAGAATAACAACTGTTGAACGCAATTCGCACTATCTCACAAATACATGTGAGACATCCATTTTCTCATTCTGACGAATTGTGTTCTAGCTCTAAACTCAGGTTTAGACCTAGCGTCCTAGGTCAGCCACTTCACGCGCCATACTGTGGGTTGCCATCAATACCGTATGTAAATGAAAATACTTAGAATAAAGTGAGTAATATAGAGTAAAATTACCAGGATTAAGAAGGATACTATCTTCATAAAATTCCGGAAGTTCCGCAGGTTTTACCGCAACCAACGCCACCCCATATTTACGATGACTATGGAATGACGCGTAGGTGAAGGATTTACCCTCGTACTCGCCGAAAAATCGTGAATCTCCGAGAATGATGTGATAAATCTCGTTGCCTGAGCATTTCCCATAAAGCCTGTGCCATTCTTCCTGCGACTGTTGGCCTTCTCTGAAAAATAAACGAGAACGTTAATCTGAACTGTTAGCTTGCTTTAATTTATATTAAACCTTGATAGCTAATTTAATGGAGACAAATATCAATGGAGATAAATATCAATGTTTAATAATATAAATAATAATGTAATGGTAAGGTTAATCTTTTCATTGATACCGATGAATTTCATTTTGACTTACTGTCCTCTGGAAGTGTGCAACAGAAGCGTAACCAAAGTCGAGGCACCAGGACACGTACAATTGTTCGCCAACAGGGCATATTTGAACTCATCTTCGCAAACCACGTGTTCCGCGAACTTCACGTGAAGTTTGTTCTCCGGACGGAAAATTTGAACGTACTGAGGAACATTTGGTGCAAAATCCTTTACCGCCCACGACCTGAAATTAATCATAACAATCCTATTAGCGTTGCAACTCACTGGCTTGCTGACACTGTTTGCAATTCTCACGCAGGGAAATTTTCCACCGAGAAATATGAAAAATTATAAAACTTGTGATTAAAAAAAAAATATAAAAAAATGACAAAACTTGTAAGTATAAAAATGAATATTGACAAATAATGATAATAGAGAAACAAATGAGAAAAGTATAAATTTCATTGATGAATGTATTCAAGGCAAGATGTGAATTTATTTTACTTGAATTTATGCTACGTATTCATTTCAACAGTCCAGGACCAAACTACACAAAATTAATATAAAAAGAAGAAATATAAAAATACAGGTGAAGGTAAAAAAATTTAAAAAGAACATAATTTGTAATAATTAAATTGCTTATCCCTCTGTTGCACTCTGTCCTAAATATACAACACAAAAATAACACACCATGAAAAGAAAAAATGTTGCAAGAAAATTTTCGAAAATAATGTATAACAGGTTTGTATTAAGATGTTTTTCAAATATGTTAGATTACACGAGATTAAGATGTTCAGTCATTAGTATTCTATGAGAATAACCTGACCTGAGTATCGTGTGTTCATCAGCAGCTGTTTTGTCGGCATAATTCCTGGCAGCAAGGATAAAGCAGGCTTCAGCCTCGTTCATTCTGGCCCTGGTGAGATCGCTGTCTTTCAAACACGATCCCTGAATATAAATTACCCTCTGTGCCCAAATGGGTACTTGCAGAATCATTCTCATGGTGGTATCCAATTCCATGGGCGACAGCAGCACCACGTAGTAGTCCTAGATACAATAAAATATACGCGAACATCCCTATGATGTTCAGACATTTACGAAATTTTAATTCTTGGCTGTTGGACATTTGGGAATTTTGGGATTTGGGGACTTTTGGTATTTGGGGATTTTGGGGTGTGAGGATTTTATGAAGTTGGGGACTTAGGGATTTTGGGAGTTTTGGGATTTGGGAGGTTGGGAGATTGGGAGATCTTGAAATTTTGGGATTTAGAAATTTAGGATTTAGGTGGAGTTTAGGGATTTGAGTACTTGGGGATTTGGAAATTTAGGGATCTACGGATTTATGGATTTAGAAATTTGGGAAATTGAGAATTTGGGGTTCTTAGGAATTTGGAAATTTGGAAATTGGGAACTTGGGAAATTGGGAACTTGGAAAATTGGGAACTTGGGAGATTGGGAACTTGGGAGATTGGGAACTTGGGAACTTGGGAAATTGGGAACTTGGGAAATTGGGAACTTGGGAAATTGGGAACTTGGAAAATTGGGAACTTGGGAAATTGGGAACTTGGGAAATTTGGAACTTGGGAACTTGGGAAATTGGGAACTTGGGAAATTGGGAACTTGGGAAATTGGGAACTTGGGAAATTGGGAACTTGGGAAATTGGGAACTTGGGAAATTGAAAAATTGGGAACTTGGGAACATTGGTAATTTTTGAAATTTAAAAATTTAAAAATTTGAAAGTTTGATAATTTGAGAATTTGAGAATTTGAGAATTTGAGAATTTGAAAATTTGAAAATTTCGAAATTTGACAAATTCGAAATTTAAGAACTCGAAAAATTAAAAAATGAAATGTGAAAGTTTGATAATTAGTACATAAAATAATAAAAAAAAAAAATGTATAAATCTTGTGTACGATGTTCAGATAATGAAATATTAAAGCGATTTTAAAGCGATAGACGACGAGGCAGCGATAAAGGATATTAAAGTAATAATTGATCAATTAAATTTCTCACCTGCAGTAATGGATGAGCATAAAATTCGTTTAGAAAATCCATGATGGTGTCGGCTTGTAGCGTTGTGCTGCAGACCACCACGTGTTTCTCACTCTGCGCTCTGTGTGATGAATACGATCCACCAAGCTTTTGTCTTTCCATCCACGTGAATGCTAGTTGTTCGAACTATCGAGACAATAAACCATATGACTATTCTACTCATTGATTATTAATAATTAATAAAACGTGTATTTCTTTAGGAAATTTGTAAATTCTGTCAAGTTTATTTTTATGAAAAATAAAATGAGATTTGAACAAATTTTGTTGTTAAAATATATTGTACAAATATATTTTACTCACATAAGTATTAGGTACTCACATAACATATGTGAGGAAACATATTTTGTTCTCATTGTTGATTCAAATATGTTTTGAACATACTTTATGTACTCCAGTATTAATGTATTATATTATCAATTATAGCTTGTATAAATAATTATAATTATAGTAATTTGAGGTGTACTTATGAATTTATTACAAGTGACTTGATAGAATTATTAAAATTACAATTTCAATGAATAACTTGAGGATAAATGACAAATCTACCAAATATGATGCTAGTGATAGGTAGAAACTGACTTCGTGATTCTAACCTCAAAGAACAAACGTTTGACTGAACATACGTTTATTTTTGAAATTATTACAAATGACTTGATAGAGTTATAAAAATTACAATTTCAATGAATAAGTTGTGAATAATAATTAATCCACCAACTATGATGCTGGTGATGGGTAGAACCTCACCTCATGATTCTAACCTCAAAGAACAAACATTTGACGGAATTAATATTTTAATAAAAATGTTTCAGTGCAATAATTTTGCCAACATAATCGACATAATTGTCTCTCATTTTAATTTCCCAAAGTGAACACTAAATCGACCAATCCATCAACTCATCGAGGAGAAACGGATTCTGTTTCTGAACCATTGTCGGATATGTTCTAAGGTATCCCTGTTTATCGGAATATCTCCCGCGATAGGTGCGACTGACAGATTTGACAGATCAATTGAACGCTAATTACAGTCATCACGATCAGCAATCGGCTGACGTCTGCCCTTTGACACTATCCTTCGTCATTAGTTAATGATCTCGGTCAACAAGCACAATAGCGTATTTGGGTTAAATTCCACCACAGGGGATTTAATTCTGTGTTTGTTGCTGGCGTGTATTAATTAGATACGTGGATACATACACAAACACTGTCTTATAAATCTCAATCAAATAACAGGGTTTTGCACGTGCTATCGCTTTTACTGCGGTAAAAGTAAATCTACATATAATGCGGAGATAAGGTTGGGAATTCATGTATATACATGGACATTATTCTTCATTCATAGTATATTGGATTATTTTTTTGTGTAATCAGAAAATATTGTAATCGATATGCAGTAGGTGGAAAGTAACCTTTATTAACATTCTGCGAACTTTTAATTTTTTGGTTTATAATATCGTGACGCACTTGTGACGCACATCAAAGTTCAATTATAACAAAAATACATCGTGTTTGCTCTACAACTGAGTTTTGAGTTCAATACAGGTTACAATTTGTACAATTAAAGATTGTTAAATTCAAGACACGTCTAACATTGCAAGCTTCTTTCTATATTTTAATGTTGCAACAGTAATTAATTAACTCTGACTGACATAACTGTCGAACAAATTACAAGTTAAGGGGTTAAATGAATATTAAATATTAATAATAAATATTGTACTAAAAATTCTTGTTACATAATTTAAAGAAATATGAACTTTGTTTTAAAAAACTTATTTAAAAATTCATGGTGACTTTATACAATAACTTTCAAAATTTTCTTCGTTCATAAGTAATATTGTCTTTATCTGTGGATATATTAATTTGTTTTATTAATTTCTTCGTTCATAAATAGTATTGTTTTTATATGTGGATATATTAATTTGTTTTATTAATTTAACTCGTTTAATTTTGTTTCTCGCAAAATAGTAAATGTACACGTTCGGTTAAGTTAATCAAGATGTAGCCATCTATGAAATATTATTACGAGAAGAAATAATACTGCAAGTACCTGGGTGGGTAGAACAATAAGAGCAACGCAGATCATTATAACCATGTAGAGTTGAGAGGGCCAAATGTCAGGTACAAAGTCCCCATAGCCAACCGTAGAAAATGTGACCACAACGTAGTATGTGCTTTGGAACAGATTCAGATGCCTGTGCCCTGCTCTTTGGAAGTGCTGGATCCCGCATACGCTGAAACATTCGTTGAAAAGAGCTTTTTCCGATGGTGATCGATTTTTGGAGAATTCTATTAAACCTTATATTTCCTAAATTCTTCGAGGAATTTGGGAATTAGGGATTTAGGAAGTTGGCAATTGAAAAATTGGGATACGTGGAAATTGGGATATGTGGGATTTGGGAAATGTGGGAACTGGAATATGTGGGAATTGGGATATGTGGGATTTGGGATATGTGAAAATTAGGATATGTGGGATATGGAATATGTGAAAATTGGGATATGTGGGATTTGGGATATGTGGGAATTGGGGTATGTGGGAATTGGGATATGTGGGATTTGGGAAAAGTGGAAACTGGAATATGTGGGAATTGAGATATGTGGGATTTGGGATATGTGAGACTTGGGATATGTGGGAATTGGGATATGTGGGAATTGAGATATGTGAAAATTGGGATATGTGGGATTTGGGATATGTGGGATTTGGGATATGTGGGAATTGGGATATGTGAAAATTGGGATATGTGGGATTTGGGATATGTGGAAATTAGGACATGTAGAAATTGGGCTATGTGGAAATTGCGATATGTGGGAATTGGGAAATATGGGAATTGGGGAATGGAATATGAAAAATTTGAAACTTTGAAAATTAAAAAATTCAAAAACTTGAAAAATAAAAAAATAAAAAAATTTGCAAAATTTGCAAGTTAAGAAAATTCATTAATCTTCAAATTGCCAACATCCTTAAATATGGCTGCTTACCCAGAATAACCTTAACCATAATATAATGAAACCCAGATTATCTTATAATCCCTCTTGAATGAAACTTACGTAGCATTTAAGAATGCATGTATATTTTAGAACTAGTGTAAGTAGTCTCTACTTCTTCTAAAGATCAAACGACTGTTTTAAAGAGCATTCGTAACAGTTAGCCTAACAAAGAACATTTATAAACGATTCATTTGCATTATGCATACGACCTCAATTTTATATTTGTATCGAGTTTATATTTGCCCAGCTTGTTGCTTCTTGTTTCTTGATGTACTCGTATTTATGGCATTGGAACAGAGCTTTTTTAAATGTACGGGTGTCTCATTTCACTCTTTCAATCTTTATTACAGAGGGAGTAAAAAAAAGCTTTGAGAGGCATCATTTATTACATTCTTCGGGTAGTTTAAGGTTAGATAATGATGTATCATTACAAAATCGATTGTCAAAATATTGTAATGTAACCTTGTTTTAATTCTTTTTTATAAAATTGCTAATTTCACAAAAATGTCTAGCTTCACTACACATTTTAGCATAACACAAATTTTTTATCGAAAATATTTTTTAATATCGAAAACATCGTAACGAAAAGCACTAAAAATCATCGCAGATGTAGAAAGAAATAATTTACAAATTAACAACGTTAATTTATAAGATCACAAAAATAATGAATGAAATGTTACAATATTTCATTTGTACCCAACATACAAACGTATAAAATTCCCTGCTGATTGCTACCAAGGATCTTTTAACTGTTACCTCGTGAATTTGACGCAACGATTTTATTCGATGCCTGCGTATCGGCAATAAGTCGAACGAATTGACAAAAAAAGAATCGAACAGCATGAGATGGAGAGCAATATTGCTTTTTTAATTGGACGCTTTTCGTTTCGCGAACGACTGCTCCGACGTCCACTGAAAAACGTACCTACATATCTCGTATCCTTTTTCAAAATTGTGTTTACGTTTGTTACTGTTACTGATGCATTGATTTTGATACTCGGAGTCGTGTATCAAAGACTGATTAACATAATACAAGGATGATGAATTTTTGGAATTTTGGGAATTTGGGAGATTTTAGAATTTTGGGAATTTTGGGAATTTGGAGAATTTGGAGAATTGGGGGGGTTTTGGTAATTTTAGACATTTGGTGAATTTTCGGGATTTTGAGAATTTAGGAAATTTCGGGGAATTTGGGAATTTTTGGAATTGGAATATGTACGAATTGGGAAATGTGGGATTTGGGAAATGTAGGAATTGGAATATGTGGTAATTAGGATATGTGGGAATTGGGATATGTGGGAATTAGGATATGTGGGAATTGGGATATGTGGGAATTGGGATATGTGGGAATTGGGATATGTGGGAAATGGGACATGTGGGAATTGGGACATGTGGGAATTGGGATATGTGGAATTTGGGAAATGTGGGAATTGGGATATGTGGGAATTGGGATATGTGGGAATTGGGATATGTGGGAATTGGGACATGTGGGAATTGGGACATGTGGGAATTGGGATATGTGGAATTTGGGAAATGTGGGAATTGGGATATGTGGGAATTGGGATATGTGGGAATTGGGATATGTGGGAATTAGGATATGTGGGAATTGGGACAAGTGGGATTTGGGATATGGTGGATTTGGGAAATGTGGGAATTGAGAAATGTGGGAATTGGAAAATGTGGAATTTGGGAAAAGTAGAAATTGGGAAATGTTGTATTTGGAATATGTGGGAATTGGGAAATGTTGTATTTGGAATATGTGGGAATTGGGAAATGTAGGAATTTGGGAAATTTTTGAAATTTTGGGAACTTTGGAAATTTTGAGAGTTTAAAAATTTGAAATTATGAAAATTTAGAAGTTAAATATTTTTAAACTTGAAAATTTGAAACGATATAAATTTTGAAGGCGTCACATTCATACTTATGACACCCAATATTAATTTGAAATCCTCTTACAAATGCTTGTTTCTTATTCTTATTCCAACGAAAAGTCGAAAGAGTTGATTATATGTCTCTACATTAAAGTAAGCGACATTACGAGATGAAATTGAAAATGTTATTTCAACAGTGTCAACGATATATTTAGAGAGGAAGCTTTCAGGGGATTAAATGAGCGCGTATTTCTTTCCTTTCCTAATTCGTCGTAAAACGATTTCTTTGATTTATACTGGCAATGCTCGCTGGAGAGTCTGTAAAATTTTATGAGAGATACGAAGTTGAGTTTACGATTTCATTTAAGCTTCCGATTAATATTTTTGTCGAGCTCATGGCGATGAAATGAACGATAAAGTAATTTCACTTACTTATTCCATATTTTTGCGACTTACAAAGTTAAGCAAGCATTATTCAAATTAATTATAAACACTATACTATATATTTATACTTATACACGTATTATATCACTATTGTATTATCACATACGTACTAGAGTATAGACGTATGCAATACAAATGTATTTTCATATATACATGTATTTATTATATTTATGTCGATGATAATATTTATTATGTTTATCTCTGTAAATAATGAAAATACATGCGATAACACACTGAATATCCAAAATCTAATATCATGAAATAATTATAAAAGAAACAATAGAGATTTATTACTGTACAAATGAAGTAAACTGTAGCTCCATTATAGCAACGTTATCATTATCGATTGTACAAGTACTCTGCTCGTACTATGTTTCACGTCGAGAAAACGTAGATTACTCCGTTTGCTGTAAACCTTAGTAATCGTTGTAAGTAAGCGTGTTCGTTAACTATACATCTTCAAACTTGACATGCCATTCGTAAAGTGGACGTTTGCTGACTTTCTCGGAAACAGTGAAATAGATAGTTCACAGTTGTAACTTGGTAGACAATGTATGTCGCTCATTAGGTCTTACATGTTGCGTTTATTTCATCATTGAATATTCAAATTGTATAAATATGTATGTATGTATAAAGAAGAATAAATATGAAAAATAAGTTCCACAAATTATTTTGGTATTTGTTGTATGTTAAGCAAGGTAGATGTGTTCAAATTTAAGTTTAGGAATTCAAACATTTACACATATAAAAATCTCAAATTATCAGATTAAGAAATCTGGCCACTTAAAAGTTTGAACATACAGAAAGTTTCATATTTGATAAAATTTTTGTGACTGTAAAAAAATTGTTGTTGGGTCTGAAATTTTTTTTTAGGGTGGTACAAGTTTGACCATTATCGAGCCTAGCAACAGAACAAACATTGACACCGAGCCAAGAACAGTATCTATCGCTCGTTTGAAGAACGACTTCCGAATAATTTGAAGATCGGCTGAGAAGATAGGCGACATCCGGCCACCCTTGTCGCTTTGTGCACGACGACAAGGGCAAGCTTACAAGTACGTCGTTCTAGAATTACACGGTAAATAATGAATCACGTACGATCGATGGTGATACCAATCCATCTACACGAACCGCCACGATTACTTATTAACATCTGTCCCACATTGCATCTGGGTCAATCAGCCGAGTTTCACGCTTTCATCGAGTGATCGTGATCTCTGTCGTACAATATTGCGTTAGTGTCACGGAACAAACTGACCGAGCGACAACAATTCGCGTAGGTGTCCGATATCGCGAAGAAAAGTAACGACATGACCACCTACTGTCTCCTTCGTTAACGAAACTTTCCCTCCACCTTTATCGAAAGGCCACGAGAACTTTTCAAAAAGGGGTTGTTACCCGAGTTCGTGTGAACCCTTGAAAATGTCACGTTCGAGCAGCAATTCCCCGGGAAAATTGGATTAATATATCGACCGTTTTACTGCCTTTACCGACATTCGTTCAGAGGTTCAAAGCTTTAAGGGAGGAACTGATAGGAAAAATTGCTGCTCTTTTGCATAAATCAACGATTTAGTGACATGGTAAGGATGTTACTTAAAACTGTCAAACTTTAGATTTTTTTCAAGTTATTAATAATCAAATGTTAGGAGTAGGAGACATTTTTGTATAAAATTAATTTGGAGATCATTTGTGTTTAAGGTACAAGAGAGGTTTCAAATTTATAGGTGTTTAGTATTTTCAGTATTTATGAATAACACGTTACGGTGCAAAATTAACGTTTGTCAGACGCAATATGAGTTATCAAGGAAAAAGACAATTAATTTTTTAATTTAATCTTTTAATTTTTTAATATATACTGTAAATGAAATACTAAGAACATTCAAATGTTTTTTCTTTCGTTATTCTCCTAAATAATAATTAATTTAATTCGAGTTGTAGAGGCGAGCACTCTTGACTAATATGACGGCCAACAACTTAAGAAAATGGCGGATGAACAGATTCCTATAATAATACTTAAATGACTACAAAATTATGTTATTCAATACAGAGATAATTTCCTTCACAACAAAAATTAATTTTGATCCTTCTCTAACATAAAAATAAACTAATTTTGTAAAAAACATACAATAAAGTTTCAAGGACAAGGAATTTTTTAAGTCGAAATTTGAATAATAAATAAATCGAACTAAATTCGATAATAAATCATTTTAACGTCGTACAAAATCCTTTCTTGACTTCTTCAATTTTTTAATTGTCCAACGAGAACTTGGAACGCATTCGATTCCCACGACACAATCAACATGTTAATAAGCTGCGTCGCGCTTACTCTTTGGTTTCGATATATGATTTTGTAATTTCCAGGAACACTATGCTCGATCGAATGCAACATGTAACCTGTCGAACGAATAATAGATCGCGTAATGAGGTTCGGTTGAAATTGCCTTTCGTTTGCAGAAGAGTAATTACGTGCGCGTAATATTTTGCGTCTTGATCAAGGTAAACGGAATTCTCCTTCTGTGTGAACAGATTTAGCGTGAATAAATAATTTTACGTTTCAATCGTTAAATTTTATTATGTGAATCAATAATTACCTTTCATTTGAATCACTACGTATATCAATCACGAGTTACAAATGAGTGAAGTTGCAGACCTTGTCAAATATTCATACGCAGCAAATATGACTTTCAAACATTCCCGCAGCATAATACACTTAAAAGACGTATGCGTATCGATTGTTTGCTATTTTTTGTTTCGCTGTATCATTATTACAAACTTTGTTCCATATATAGAAAAAAAACGATCGGGTAATAAAGAGGTTGGACATGAACTACTTCCAGTTGCAGTTGAAATCGTATTTTTAGCGTTTGTGTACGGTCGATTGCGTTTGTGGGTACTTTCCTTTATTTTCACGACGTTTTATTAATTGGCAAGATTACGTTTTTATTTAATTAAATTTAAGGAACTTAAATTATATTCCTTGATTTTAAATTTAAGTTCAGCTTCAACTTGGGTTTTGGTCAGATTATTTTAATCTTGAAAGTTTTTATAATTCCAAATTTTCACATTTTCAGATTCCCAAATTTTTATATTCACAGTTTGCAAGTTACTAGTTTTAGTAAATTACTATGATTGTACGTGATGGAACTTTGAAGTTTCATTTCTTTTTTATCTGAAGGATTTCAAATAAAAGATTGATGAAACTCACCTAGTAAAGACAAGGCACAGTAACGTAGCGCTGAGGATCATCAACTGTTGACTTAAAGCTGATTGAGATTTCTGCATAGCTCTGTGCAGGTCATTCTGCAAAAACACATTAACAATAAAAATAACAATTCAGTAACAGAAAGCAGATATAAATTACTTACGAACATATTCTCCAAGGAATGCTTTGCCAACCAGCAATTTAGGAACACCGGAATGAACAGATTTCGCATTGGTGGATAAAGTAACTGAAATCATAATTTGTCATCGCTCAAATGATTACTTAATGACAAAAAAAATAATTTTAGCAACACTTGTTTTTAATAACCTATGAAGCTAAATTAAAATTTTTTACATTCTTCAAATTTATAAATATTTAAATATTTAAAAATAATAAATCATACAGTGCAAGCTCCTCAGATATCTGCTAAAAAATAAAGATAAAATCTGATAATATAGATGACGTTTGTCTTCAAAATACAGTTTGCGTATCGTAAGGCAAATGGCGAACAAACAATGTAGCATAGCTTGGATTTAGGGATCTCAGACGTTGGAGAAGTGACACAAAACTAATGATGCTAAGCCAATTAAATTTCGAGGTATAACCCTCTGATAATGTTGAATCCCATTTTCGTTCGGATCGAGGGTGCTGAAGGTCGGGATCGATACACCATGTAATTTATCGTAAACCTCGAACTCCATTTTCTTTTAAATCATTATTCTAATCTATTCACAATTCAAATTTCAAATTACTTTTGCCTCATATGAAAGCTATCACCGAGTGAAGCACATACGTGTATCCACATATGAGCTAATACGCATACATTACAAATACAATTATTCATCAATCAGCAATCATAAAAATTTTGCCTACAAATCCACACAAAAGTACTGTAATTTATGTCTATCAAAATTGTAGAAATGTTACAGAGTCCCCTACTTAAAAATTAAAACGTGAATCTATCGAAATGAATATCAGTCTACTGAATCATTGACTTTCACTACTTGGTTTGACTGCTTACTCGTACCACCTGTACCAAACCACTTCGTACAACGATCACAGCAAAAATATCGTGTCACCTCTCGATATTAATCAATCAAGCCGCGAAAGTTTATAACCCAACAATAAAAGCAACAAGTTCATCCCTGTCGGAGGAACAAAACGCTATTCAGATTGACATAGCTCGGAGAATTGGAACTCGGTGCTTATATATCGATGTTCAACCGAATCGATGCAAAGCAACAAGTTCTTTACACTTTCATCATGGTGGCTGTTAACGGAATGAAGACTGGTTATACCGTGCGGTTAGTGGTTCGACGAAATAAAGTCCCATTGGAAGCGTCTGATGTTGCGTGCCAGAGGAACGTAAAACCTAAAGATTTCTATCGCTGCCTGGTGAAATGGAATTCAGAAGGAATCAGGGGATACGATTCGTTTTATTGCCAAGCTACGAACAAATCAGCAGATCTTTTCTTGCGTATCGTCCCCTTAACGAACCGTTTTATGACTCCTTATATTTCCGGGCTTCATTCTTCGTGCGTGTAATAAACAAGCTTTTCTTCCTTTCTATTATTGCGATTACAGGAATTCTTTTTTATAACGTGGTATAACAACATGATATAACATAAGATGTCTTAAAAGAATAATGGACTTCATTGTCATAAAATGTAATTATATAAAATAGACAAGGCTTATGTTCATACTATATTGACTACGTTAAAAGTACATAGACTTCATTGTCTTAGAATGTATTTAAATAAAATAGACAAGGCTTATGTTCATACTATATGAACAACCTCAGAAGTACATAGACTTCATTGTCTTAGAATGTATTTAAATAAAATAGACAAGGCTTATGTTCATACTGTATTGACTACCTTAAAAGTACATAGACTTCATTGTCTTAGAATGTATTTAAATAAAATAGACAAGGCTTATGTTCATACTATATGGACTACTTTAGAAGTACATAGACTTCATTGTCACAAAATGTAATTAAATAAAATGGACAAGGATCATGTTCATACTATATAGACTACCTTAGAAGTACATAGACTTCATTGTCATAAAATGTATTTAAATAAAATGGACAAAGTTCATGTTCATACTATATGGACTACCTTAGAAGTACATAGACTTCATTGCCACAAAATGTATTTAAATAAAATGGACAAGGTTCATGTTCATACTATATGGACTACCTTAGAAGTACATAGACTTCATTGCCACAAAATGTAATTAAATAAAATAGACAAGGTTTATGTTCATACTACATGGACTACCTTAGAAGTACATAGACTTCATTGTCACAAAATGTAATTAAATAAAATAGACAAGCTTCATGTTCATACTATATGGACTACCTCAGAAGTACATAGACTTCATTGCCACAAAATGTATTTAAATAAAATAGACAAGGTTCATGTTCATACTACACTGACTACCTCAGAAGTACACAGACTTTATTCATATAATTTAATCACATAATGTACTAAATGGACAACGTGAGGGATAACAAATCGATTCAAAATTTGCTGCAATACCTTAAAGTGTCTAAACTGTACAACAAGTTGTAAATATATATGCACTGAATCGCTAATAACCCATGAGAGGTTGATGCGACTATAAATAAATAAATGAAAAAAAAAATATGTGCAAGTATTAATAGACTTAATATATAGACTTAAAGTTACAACTCCTTCAAAGTGACCATCTCAACATAAATGTATTCTCATAAACCGAATTCTATAAACTAAAGCCTTCATGAATTTTAAGTTCAATGTTATCAATTTCAAATCCGAAGTGTGAGTAAAATTAAAAAATCGTGTAATTGTAAAAAGAATTGAATAATGACTCACCGTGATCGTGAAGGGTATAGTGTTGACCAGCTCGAGGATGAAGTGGAAAGAGAGAAGCTGCTGCCAGACGTTTCCCTGCGAACATGACGAAGACAGCTCAACAAACCCAGCGACAATTAAAAAAAAGTGCAAAATGCAGTAGAAAAACGTTCCACATAAAACAGCGATCGTTCTGCAATTTCAATGCAACGTGCTCGTTAACTAACGTTCCTAAAATGCATCGAATTCAAAATCAACAGGTGCTGCGTTAATTGCCGAAAATTAATTTAATGTTCTCTATGGATTTGGAAACCGGCAAGCCGGCTCGTATAAGTAAATATTAATTAAACTATTATACGAACGCTATAATTACGGGGCATTGGACGCGAGTTTGCTTGCGCAATATATCGTTGATTCATGTTTATCCGTCGGTAAATAATATTCTGCTGTTACACAGTTGTGAAAAATAATTTACTGTTATTTAAAAATGTTTATAGCAATTTTTAGCTTTGTTGATAGTTTTTTTTAAATTTGTATTTTTCTTTAAATTTCTTTTCTTTAAATGCTTTCTTGCCGCGTGAAACTGCGACACAAAATGGCGGAACATTGCAGGAAATTGATGGCTACTGTGTTTGCAACCATTTCGAGTTTACACTAAATGTATTACGTAAAAGCTGTTATTAAATTTGAGGTTATGACAAATAAATAATTTGTATTTAATTGCAATTTTCTTTGATGGGTAGATTACTACATAAGCATATTCATTGTCAAATTTAGTTTGATTTCATAAATGAGTTCGACGATGAGTTTGATAAATGAGTTCCAACTTGTTAAATATTTCAAAACTAAACTTTCTAATTAAGTCACAATTAAATTTTACAATTTCATAAACAAAAAGACAGAGATTGAAGAAAGTTTTAAAAATTATTAAGCTTCTTTTGAATATTATTAAACTTTGAATTAACAACTGTGAGAGTTCTTTATGTATTTCTTATTAAGTAATAAAAAGTTTGAAGTCCACGAACAAATTTTGCAAAAACCTGTCATTACAAATCATTCAGTTGTTCGCTGTCAATGAATTCAGAAAAGTGGAACGTTTGCATTAGCATTCAGATGCCACTTAAATATGTATGTACGTATTTCTTCCTTTATCGATAGAAGCTTTCTCAAAATCTGTGTCACACTTCAATGTCGACTAATATTCCTTGGCATACATTTTCTACTTCTGTTCGTTTCTGTCGAGCTGTCAACCGTTCAAATTTTTCTCATCCGCTTCGGAAAAGTTTCTTTGAATTCGATCAACTTTCAAAGCGAAGGCTCTCGGAAAGATTACAGAAACAAACGGGAATGAGTAAACTTTAAATCTATGCCTTTTAATGCATATTAATGTTTTCTCGTATATAGTTAGATGTCTTATTTCGTTCCTATTTTACTTTCGAATTATTATTCTGGGATATCGAGTGGAACATGACAGTACTATTAAATTTGAGGAGATGTACAATGAGGAAAATGATAATGTAATCAGATGTGGGATCAAAACTTTACTTTTGAGAAATTACATATTTTGGGATTTCAATTTTTGGGGCATAATATTTTGAAAGCGAGGAATGTGGAAGTTGGAAAGTAGAATTTGGGAATTTGGGAAATTGGGGATTTGGGAATTTAGGAATTTGGGAATTTGAGAATTTGGGAATTTGGGAATTTGGGAAATTAGGAATTTGGGAATTTGGGAATTTGGGAATTTGGGAAATTGGGAAATTGGGGATTTGGAGAGTTAGGAATTTGGGAATTCGAGAGTGTGGAAATTTGAAAATTTGGAAAATTTGAGAGTATGGAAATTTGAGAATTTGAAAATTTGAGAGTATGGAAATTCGAGAGTGTGGAAATTTGAGAATTTGGAAATTTGAGAGTATGGAAATTTGAGAATTTGGAAATTTGAGAGTATGGAAATTTGAGAGTGTGGAAATTTGAGAATTTGGAAAATTGAGAGTGTGGAAATTTGGGAATTTGGAAATTTGAAAATTTGGAAAGTTGAGAGTGTGGAAATTTGGAAATTTGGAAATTTAGAAACTTAGGAACTTGGAAATTTAAGAACCCGAAAATCTATTACCTAGGAAATTATATTATATTATACATAAAACCTTTGACAAAGATAAAATGAACGAATTAACTTCGTAGGTACTATCAACTCATTTATCTTCAAAATCTCGTCAAAGCAAGCTTAAAAATATACCGAAAGCGCTACCACACGATAACTCGATAAACCTTTTCGAGGATTCTGCTATTATTAATATCCCCGGAGATTTACGAATAGCAGACGAATGCAATTTGTAGAGGGGGCAAAAAAACGAGTGCCTTTTTAAAAAGCTGCCTTGTCGAGCCACGAATTTCATTTCATTAAATGCTGTCGCGGTGAAGGAATGCATTTTTAAAGAATCCCACCGACAAAGGATTCGTGAATTTTTCACGAAAATCGCTGCTGGCTTTCTAAGAATCGTTTGCTTACAGCTGCTTCATCTTTGGCCAGGCGAAAATTAATGAAAAGCAATTCTAAAGTTTCTGAATACGGTAATTTGACCGGTCCGTTCTTAATTAGTTTTCTTGCATAAAATGGGAAATTTTAGATGCAAAGATTATTATTAATTGTACAAATTATTGTTATTTAATAATTGTTTGTAATATTAATCTAATCATGTTTCCTATAATTGTATTATGACAACAATTAATAATTACCGATTTTTAATAGAATTATGTATAATAATTATTGAAATTATTCTGCCTCGTAATCTCTGCATACTTTTTTGTCGCAAGTTCGAGCCCGCTGGACTTGCTCTTTTTCCACGTCATGTTTTTAATTTTCTTTTCTTTTGTAATAATTTAAATAATTTTGTTTGTAATAATACAACAAACTCTTTATCTTTGACCGATTCAATCGCAACGTCTTTCTTCTCCTTTCGTTATTCCCTGTTCAAATCCTACCGTCAATTAAACCAGTAAACGTAGTCGAAATTATACCGTGTTTGGTCTCATTTTAATCGGAAAAATGTCAAGAATTAATTGGTAAAAGTTTGATAACGAAAAAGTCAAAAATAAAAAAGTTTTGTATTTGCATTGGTATAGTCTCACGGATATACTGGAACCGCGGATCACGTTACATTTCTCGGCGCGCGAGCTTCACGGTGTCACGAGGGGTCTTCCCCCCACTGGTCATTTTTTGCGCGTATCTCGTGGACCGCGAATCGCGAACTGGGCACTGCAACCGCTAGGTGGCCAGCCACGAATTGTTTTTCTCACAATTATAACGGGCTCCCGCGAGTATATTAAAGGGCCGCGAGAAAAAAGTGACGGCATGATTCCGATTCACGTATAAGGTCTTTACCTATACGTAAAAAGCGGAAGCATGCTCACATTTTTATGTTAGGGGATAGCAAGTTGGTTTCATACCCGCGCCCCTAAGTGTCCCATTTTGGGAATCTCTAATTGATGATTCCATTTATGGAAAGCAGTCTGCTGCTGATCACCGATGATACACGCCATGTCCTCCGCTCTGCTTAACACTGCTCACCATGGTGACATCCCGATGGAAGCTTCCACCCAAGACACAATCCCCTGATTGTCCCAGACCGAATAGGTACACAAACCCCTGAGTGTCCCACACTGAATGTCCCAGACCCTGGAATGCCCTGACCCCTAAACACACCCCATACCCCAAAAATGCCACACATCACTAGTTGTCCAAGACCTGGTGGAGTGCCCCATACCCCTAAGTACTACACACCACTAGTTGTCCAAGAGCTAGTAGAATGCCCCATACCCCCAAAAAACCACACACTAATTGTCCAAAATCCAGTGGAGTTTCCCAGGACTCCTGAATGCCCCACATCCCTAAATGCCCCACACCAAAAATTGACAAATATTATTACATATATTAAATACTATTGTACATGTATACTATTAATTGCAAATATTTTGTATTCTGTGAATATAGAAATGTTTGACAATTATTTAAAAACACTCTGAATCTATATTAAATAATTAGCATTGGCTCTCGTGGTCGCACAGCAATTAGTCCAAAAACAATGATACGCAAACCTTTCGAAAATGAGTGAAATAGTGTTACTTGCATTGAACAGTTATTAATGTCATTATTATTTTTATTCGCCGAAATGTACCCGCAAGAAATGTTCACGATGTATATATCTTCTTTTACTTTGTCCCTCCACCCCGTGATTGACATCTGTAGAACTTCCATTTTCCCTCGAATCTCGATTGATCCCCAATCTGCTAACGATCGAATTAAAATCAGCTTCTTCCGAGAGAACAAAGAGCAAGTCATTTCTCAAGTTCAGCCCGCTTCAAAATCTGAAATCACGGAGTCAAGCAAATCCTCCGGAGCCTCCCATTTATTTTTCCACTCAATCACCGTATTCACCGTACCGGCAACTTTCCCCTTCGTGAGAGGAATCTCCTTAAAGCCTACTAGACGACCAATCCTCCGACGGTGAACTACGTAAATCGAGAATGACGGATGAAGACATAATAGCGGAGGCAAAGGAATCACGGTTGTACACGTTGCTTCACGTGACTGTAATCCATTCAACGGTCATTAGTCGTGAGTCGGGTTTGGATTTGCCTCACTGACTTCGCCAAATATACTCGATTACTCACCGTGAGAATTGTCTGTCTATTTTACTCGCTGCAATAATTTGAGACGATGGATTTTCGACAGTTTGGTGTTTTGATGAGTCTTTGAAATGTTATGAGGGTTTTGGGGAAAAGTTATTGAGTTATTCAGTTACCAAAATATCAAACTGTCAAATTATCAAATTATCCAGCTATCAAACTGTCAAACTCTCAAACTATCGAATTCTCAAATTCTCAAACTCTAACACTCTCAAACTCTCGAACTCTCGAACTCTCAAACTCTCAAACTCTCGAACTCTCAAACTCTCAAACTCTCAAACTCTCAAACTCTCAAACTCTCAAACTCTCAAACTCTCAAACTCTCAAACTCTCAAACTCTCAAACTCTCAAACTCTCAAACTCTCAAACTCTCAAACTCTCAAACTCTCAAACTCTCAAACTCTCAAACTCTC